AGTACCTTACCTTTTGTCTAGATCCATCTTTACTCCAGAAGGACCTTTTCTTTGGCAGATACTGCTCCCCCTCATCCCCATACTGCCAGCATTTTAAAGATGTCATTCCACTGTCTTCTGTCCTTGTTGATTTCTATTGAGATATCAACTGTCAGTCTTATTGGTGCTCCACTAAAGGTAATTAAAGTGTCTTTTCTCTAGCTGCTTTAAAAATAAGGCCCGTCTTGGATTTTCAGCACTTTGCCATGGGTATCTGGGCATAGTTTCAAATATTTAGCTCTGTTTAATTGGTATTGGCTGAACTTTAATTCGTGGGTTTTCATCAATTTTGCAAAACTGCTTGCTAGCCATAACCTCAAGCACTGTTTCTGCCCTAATCACTCTCCCCCGACCCATGACTCCAAAGTACATGTCAGACATTTTGAACATATCCTGATATTATCCAGGGAAAATCTTGTCTTCTGGTTCACTAATCTTTTCTTCTAATGAACAGTTACCTCATCAAAGGGAGTTCTCTCCCCCCTTTAAGTAGGCTCCACACCCAGCGTGGAGCCCAGTGAGGGGCCTGAACCCACAACCCTGAGATCAAGACCCAAACCAAGATCAAGAGGCAGACGCTTAATGGACTGAGCCACCCAGGGGCCCCTCACCTAGCAAGTTAATTTTTTTCACTAGAGGTCCTTTCAAACAAAAATCATTCCTTGATGAAAAACTTCACTATTTCATGTCAACCCTCTCCATTTTCTTTCACATTAAATCAGTTTTTTAAAAAGTCATAGTTTTACACAACCTAGATAATTTGGATTCAATCATACATTTCTTCTCCCTCTTACCTGTCATATAATTTTCTTGCTTCACACACCTAGTAATCTTTAAACTGTGTGCTGGATATTGTGTATAAAAGAACTGTAGAGGCTCCAAGACAATTTCTTCCTCTTGAAAAGGGGATCCCCCTTTGCTTTGTTAGGCAGACTTTTGGTAAGATTTAGCCCAAACTCATCCCTGTGCCTAGAGTACAAGCCTAGAAAGTTTTTGGTTGAGAAACTGGGTGGACCTTTGCTTCTTCAGCCTTGAAAGACTGCAAGGGATTCAGTTTCGCCTTTGAGAAATTTTCAGTTTAGCTTTTTTGCCCAAATTTCAACATAGAACGTAGAAAAACTGGCTGTTCTTTTAAGGCTTTCAAGCCTCCAATTTTGTCACTCCAGCCCTATGCAATCAGTAAAAGCACAGCTGATTGCTCCTTCCCTAACATGGCCCTTTACCTGGGCCAAATCCAGATGCCCACACTAAGCCAGCTTCTACAAAGTAAACTGGAGTGTAAGAGTTTGTGATCTTCCACTAAGCTCTGAATACTTCTCCCCTCTATACAGGATTGAGTCTAGTGTACACCTCCTTTCCACATCACATTGTTGCCTTTAAAAATATGGCTTTTGAAAATTATCCTGCCTAATAGAGTGTTCGATGGTTGTGTTATTGACCTGAAGTGAGCTACATCCTCTCATGTGAAAAACTGAACCTCTACAGTGTTGGTAATGCAAATAATTAAAAGTGGTAGAAAAAATGGTGACTTTTGGAAAACTCGGAATATATAAATTTACAACACTGAACACATTCTGCAGTGCAAATCACTCTATATCCTCCAATTCCTTTTATCATCAGTTTCCTGTTTCTTTGATAGAACCTTTTTATTCACAAAGAGTTAAGGGGGAGAAGACATTTTACAGTTGAATTTGGGGTGCCTGGGTGGCTCAGTTGGTTAGGCGACTGCCTTCAGCTTGGGTCATGATCCCAGAGTTCTGGGATTGAGTCCCGCGTCGGGCTCCCTGCTTGGCGAGGAGTCTGCTTCTCCCTCTGACCCTCTCCCCTGTCATGCTCTCACTACCCCCCCCAAATAGATAAAATAAAAATAAACAGTTGGATTTTCTAAGAAGTAACAGTAAAAGTTTCCTTAGTAATATGCCCAGATCTTTGCCATTAAAATGTTTAGTTTTGACTGGTTTATTACAACTTATGGTCATAGAATTGCTCAGTAACTATCAAGTCTTCATATTGATACAAAGTTTAAATTTGAATGCCAAGGCTTATGAACCCTTCTCATATGAACTTTTTTTCCCAGAAACTCCATTTTGTCTTCCCCAGATGGAATATATAAGCACATAACCGGGAATAAATCTCTTAATCTTGCACCTCAGAGATGTGTATAGTTGGATGGCTTCTGGATAGCTTAACTAGTTCCCACTAGTGATTCTTTGGAAACCATGGCTATAAAGAGAAAAATACTCAAAAGCCAGCACATTCTTAAAACTTCTAAGGTTATTCTTAGTTGAAGAAACTTGCTTGAATTTGTCTGAATTAAGATTTGCTGCCTATACACCTCAGATGGCACTTAAATAGACTAAAAACAGCCAAAAAGATTTCAGAAGCAGAAACTTACATTTTGAAAAGAGTATCCATTAAATAGTGGTCGCATACTTCCAGATCTATTATAGACATGATTTTGGTATTTTAGGGTTAGTAAAAATATTAATCATTTCAGTAATGTCAAAATTTACTTAAGTATGCTCACGATTAATGTATAGTTTGTAGAGATGCAATGACCACCACTAAAAATATTACTGTAAGGGGCACCTGGGTGCTCAGTTGGTTAGGCATCCAGCTCTTGATTTCAGTTCAGGTCATGATCTCAGGGTTATGGGATTGAGCCCTGTGGTTCTGTGCTCAGCGGGGAGTCTGCTTGAGATTCTCTTCCTCTCCCTCTGCCACTCTCCCTGCTCTCGCTCTCTAAATTTTTAAAAAATATATATATAGGTTACTTCAAGTCATCTTTAAGAATAGAAGGCGGGGCATGCCTGGGTGGTTCAGTCGCTTAAGCGTCCGCTTAAAATGTCTTTTCCCCCTTAACTCTTGGTTTTGGCTCATGATCTGAGTCATGGGACTGAGCCTTGCATCGGGCCCTGCACTGGGTATGGAGCCCGTTTGGAATCCTCTCTCCTTCTGCCCCTCCCCTGCTCATGCTCTCGGTCTCAAAAAAAAAAAAGGCAGCGAAGCTGTGAAAGTAGTTCAATTCTGATATATACAATTATATCACCAATCTTACACACTGGATGTAATGTTTTAATAACTTATTATGATCTTTTAAAGAACTATTCCACATAGCTCATTTATTTTATTACAACTAAAAAAGATAATACCCTTTGGGAATAAAGGGTGCTAAAAGAGAGGACAATTATCATCACCCTCTCTAAAATATTACTTCGACCTATATTATTTGGAGTTAATCTATCGTAATTATTTCACATAATTGGAAACTTGGAAGATTGAATTTTACTATCTATCTATGCCAGGGATCATCTGGTCAGCTGCATCTTTTCTGTAGACACAGTTTTACTGGAACACAGTCATGTTCATTTATTTCTATATTGTTTATGGCTCTTTTTGCACTACAACAATAGAATTGAGATCATATGGTAAGATATCTACCATCTGTCCTTTGACAGAAAAAGTTCACTCACCTTGATCTACACCATGAAAATAATAATTTAAATGGATTTTAAGTAATTTACAACTGCCATTTTTTTTTTTTTTAAGATTTTATTAAGTAATTTCTACACCCAATGTGGGGCTTGAACTCACAACCCTAAGATCAAGAGTTGCATGCTTCACCGACTGATCCAGACTGGTGCCTCACAACCGTCATTTTGTAAAGAATTGGATAAAGCATTTTAGTTTGTATTTGAAAAAGGTATCACTGGTAATGGTTTCTCTCTATAAACCAAAAACATTTAGCAAACTGTACCTTTGAGCACCAACAAAGATGAAAAAGCTGAAAATGAAATTTCCAAGAAGTAAATTTGAGAGAGTATCCAAAGGTTATGTTCTCTCAGATAGCTTGGGTTTTTGTTTTTAAAATCTTTTCACCTGCATTTAAAATAACCTTGGTCCTATGCTAATAACAGCAGCAAGGATAGTATGGAATGCTTCTAATTTTACTTATCATTTTAGAGTAATAAATATAAGGTGGCGTCACTGAACAACTACAAAGACATTTATTTGAATAAAATGAAACACCAAAAATCTAGAGAAAAGGGAAAGAAAACCCAGAGCTCCAAATTTAAAATGGGTAAGCTCTTTTAAAAACTGGCAAGCATCTAAAACATATTAAATGATTAGGACAAAACATTCAGTTCAAGGTCACAAGAAAATGATCTTGTGAGTAGATACCTAATTACAAGTAACTTGGATGATTTAGTGAAGCAATGAATAAATAGGTCAATTGTTAAGCCTACATCACTTGTATTAGAGTAAGATTTAATACAGAATAGAAATAAATCTGAAAAAACAGGTCACAACACTAATAGAATCTTAACTAAAAATGAGGCAAACTTTCAGAACAGGAGAGCCATTATTAAGTTGTTCATCATTTTTACCATGTGAGGCAAATAAAATTGAACAGAAAATCTACACTGTGGGAATATACAAATGTTCTTCCCACAAACTCCATGACAACTACTCAGTGTGTATACTGCAGGTCTTAGACTATTTGTAAAATGACTAAACCTAAACTGCTAGCACTGCATTTTTATAATTTTATACATTAAACTTAGTAATGACCGAAATCTTAATTTTGACTATCACTGATTAGCTTTTCAAAATCGTTCCTATTGCCTGAAAGATTTCTCTAAGACTAATATTCAATACTTTAAGATTTAAGTGATAACTGTGGATTCCCCCCACCTAGACCCACCTACCCACAAAGAAATAAAATATGGGGTGGGGGGGATAAATGGAATCACGCTGATAGGATGATGACAAGGTTCAACTGAGGTTAATGTTTTGTCCAAAGTTCATTAATTAGATTTTAACTACTTTAAAAAGATCATGGTACCTGGCTATCTAATGGCTGGATACTGGGCATCAGCTATTAATGCTTGTACAGTTTGCTCAACTATACACAGATGTTACCATAAGAAATCAATTTTGAAGAATAATTCCTTCTCCTATTACATCTTGGAAAATTTTATTTCCAGATGTTTGATAAATTGAAAGGGCTGCTGAGAATTCCAAGAGTTCAAATACAATAAAAAAATTAAGACCTATAAAGCACTGAAACAAATCAGAAATTGTTCAACCTAAAAATTAATTAAAATGACTGAATTCAAGATAAACAAAAAGATTAAAGTCAAACAAACTTTACCAGATCCATAGGTTCTGAGAACATACATCCATAAAGCTGGGCTTAATATTCATAATCCATGAAGAGAAAACAAAAGTATATTCTTCAATGTCAGCAGCTCTGCTAATAAACTAGAATAGGCTTCAAAATCTTTCCAGGAGCTCAAAAGAATGTCTAGCCGCAGCTCAAAATTCAGGTTCAGGTAACAGCTGAGTCAGAAATCTGAGCAATCCATCTTTTCCTGAACATTTAAAAACTGAATCTCCACCAGTACGTATGCATCCAAAACGAATTTTGGATCTCCTCTCATGGTATAGTAAAAAGCTCAATAATATAGCTCCCTAATAAAACTTTCATCATATTGACAAATTTATTTTTATTTTATTTTACGCCAAGAAAAAAGGCTTTTACCAATGAAATGGTAAAATTAGAGGCAACTATAACTTAAAATTACATAGCTTCTTAATGTTTTATTCGTAGCATTCTTTATACAGAAGCTTCACTGATATTTAATTTACTGCAGCATCCTGTGGGTGAAGCACAAAATTACATTAATTATAAACAAAGAAACAAAGCACTTCTGACTTTTTAAAATTATATATATATATTTATATCCAGTTGACAAATAGCATCACATTACTGTATAAAAAACTAAAAATCACCATGGAAGCTAAGGCCTAAATTCTTATTTCAATTGTTCCCTTTTGTTTATATCTAAGAGATATTAGAAATTAAATTCCAGTACCTCAGAAAAAAGGTCTACATTATTTACACACAGTATGGAAAATAAAAGATGCTTTTTGGCTAAGTTAGATTGCTGTTACCTACAGTATATACAGCGTAAATTTTAGGGGGGAAAAAGCACTACTAAACAAATACTATTTCAAATGGAAATGTATTATGCCTAGAATTTTGTTCTAAAATTATTTGTGTATCCTAGTGTCTGTCTGTTGAATAGAATTTGTCTTCCAATAAATCTACTAAAAATTTGAAAAGGAGTACCACTATGCTTCTTTATATTGCTAATCTAGACACTGTTGAGTACAATATTGTAATAACTATAAGCACTGAAGCTTAAATGAAACAATGGCAACATGTGTGAGGATGGAATTTTATTTAAAATTGTAAAATATAATGCCTTAATATTTACCCATAATTATGAGACTATCTAATATTCTTTTCATCCTTTAAGTCTCATTATATAATATGTCCCTAAACAGTGAAACCTTCCAGTAACTTACCAAAGAAAAAGTTTAATTATATTATTCTGTTCTTAGAATTATTTTTCTGATAATTAAAAACATATCTAAACCCTTGGCAAAAACAAACGCAATCAATTCAGTGTAACAGACTGAGCTTTAAACTGTACTTTAATTTTCAATTAACTGTAACCTACAGGTTAATTGAACCAAATTTAGAATTTTAAATGAGCCCTACAAAGGTTTTCAAATCAATTATAGAATGCATAGAAAAGTGGAGGTAAGTTTTGGGGAAGGTGTAAGGTAGTTAATGTGGAAAATGGTAAATGCTAAACAAAATGGTACTAAATGTACATGAAAGTTAAATTAACATAGTATAAAAGAGAATAGCTTAAATAAACTGGGATTCACATATTACAATAGCAAAGTCATGACCAAATGAACTGAAGACAAGAACAGTTCTGAAAATTCTCTTTTCAGCCTACTTCCAAAAGAAATAGTCAGGCTTTTTTCCTGTACATAGTTTTGAGCTTTGTCTATACCATATATAGTAGAAAAATAAATTCTTTAGCAACCTAGAAACAGTTTATAAAACTCTTAAAGTTTAATTTTCTTTGCCAGACATGCCAATGTTAAACTGACAGCTATAAATTAAAGCTATATAGACAATAGGTTATTAAGTAATATAGAACAAGTTAAGAATACTACATTTACCGGATTTTTCTTTTTAAAAATTACTGTACTTTCTTAATTCCTGTGTGCTTTGCAATAGGAATAATAGGGACTTTGTTTTCTTAGAAAAGATAATAACACATAAGAGTATAACACAAGTAAGATAATTTATAATATACATGTACTTCAACAGCAGCCTGGTTCATGTTGACATCTTGATTCTGAAGTTAAAATTAGAAGTATAATACCTAGGACATAACAGTTGGGAAAGACAGTATTTATTTTAGGGAAAAATGAGCAAATCAAACTCTTAGGAGCCTTGAATCTCAAAATCATCTATTTACTATAATACACATAAGACAACCTTAAAATTGCAGTATGAATGAAGATTACAACATGGACCAAAGAATTTCCTCTTCCTACAGAAAAATGTAACCTAACAATGAAAAACACAGCATTTTTTTCTTTCCAGAAAAAAATGGCATGGTTTGATAATAAACGAATTCTGAATGAAGCCTAAAAATATTTACCTATGCCACCTATTCTGAAATTTTTATCCATAATTTAGTGTTCTGGTTGTATCTTCACTAACCAAATGTTTAACCCCCAAAGCAGCAGTCATTTACAGCCAATCTGGTACCAACGTCAAAAGAAAAAACTGTTTTAAAAAATGGTGCAAAAGCATTTTGATTTTAGTACAACATATCACAGAAAAGAATATGAATACAAGTTTGCAATTTTATATATACATACTCCAAAGAGGCTGTCAGTACCCAAAGTATTTTTATTGCTATATTAGCAATGGATTTTTGGATATGTTTTAAAGGGCCACATAAAAATAGATTCAAGGAACAGATTAAATTGAAGTCCTAGATTAAAATGTTTGGTTTAAAGAATTTTCTACAACAAATTTCATGTTTATGTATGAAAAGTTATATAACCTTATATGAAAATGTCATGAAGTATTTTCTACACTATACTAAATGTATTTCCCAAGAGGGAAAAAATTAAAATATCTAAAATATATTAGATTAAGATTACAAGACCATCATAGATCTTTTGAACATGCATCTGTTTACAGAATTAACAGTATACAAGATGTTTATTTCATTATGGACCATAAAGAAATGAGCTGGTGACAACTATCCTTTGCACAACATTATCAACTCACTTTAGCCACAAGTATGTCCTTGGTATGCGTGTACAAGAAATATGTTCATTTACCCCTCATCAAATCATCCACAGGTTTACTTAGAAGATGAAGGTGCAGAAATAATGTTAAGTGTATTTTTCTTTCTTTCAAACAACATCCCAAGCATGGCATAAGTAGCCTGAAATTATAAAATACTTAACTGGGCTTTTTGTTATCTACACAGATTGCTAAAATGTAAATTAAATTGCCCAAATTAGCACACCAAATAACAAAATCAGCCATAAGGCAGGCTGAAAAGCATTAAATGTTTCATATATGTGAGTTTTTAAATCATTTAATTTCTATAGAAAAATTTTATTCACAATATAATGTGACAGAAAATGCCACAGGAATGATATACTGATTGCAATAAGGTTGCATGCAACAGCAGCTTTGCATTTTATAGCTATTTTTGTTTATAAAAATTAAACTTCTCCAGTCATGCTTATCACATGGTCTTAGATTTGTAATGTAAGTGAGTAAGGAACACCATATAGTTCAAAGAGAAAATGTTTCATCATTCTGAATGTGAATTACCTGTAAGAAAAATCAAGTATACTACTAAACCCTGAAACATGCATGCCTAGATTTGCTTTTTGTCAATTTCAGGCTGTCTGCAATCAATTCCTACTTATATAATACCAAGAGGATCTGTCTGTAACTGTGGTTGAATCAGCTGAGGTTGCAAGGGTGGAGGCAACTGAAGCGGTACCATTGGTTCCACCAACTGTCCTGGGTTTGAAGGTGGTGGAGGAGCCACAGTGTTCACAGTTTCTACAATTTCTCCATTATAAAAGAAAAACTGACACTGCTGAATGAACGTTTCAACAACAGATTGATGGATCTTAGTGGTAGACAGAAACTCTCGATTTTCAAAATCGGGTCTCATCAAGGTTGGCCAAAAACAGATGGATAAGTTGTCTGCTGTCATTAGGTTGATTTTATTTTGCTGACTAACCCTGAAATTATGATAGGAAAAAACAGTTAGAAACCAATCAAAATTCATGACAATTTAAGTATCCTAGATCTCAGATGATTTAGTTTTAAACCTTTTATCTTAACTTCAAATTTAAAACGTTTTTCTTCTTATACATTCTAAGATGTTCAACTACATTCCAGTAACAGGAGACAGCAGTAAAATCCATTTCTTAGGAGAACCAAAGATAGTCTTTAAAAAAAAAATTGTTGTACCCAGCGGTTTATAATTTACTTAGAGAAGCCTCCTTAATTTGTGTGGGGAAAAAAAAACACACACCTTTTTCTCAGAGTAAAGAGAACACGTGACAAATTTTAATGAGTTTCTGGTAACAGAAACAGAGAATTCTAATTGCATATACAAATTCCTTGACTATTACGAGAGATGAAGAGACAACTATGGTATGCCATCTCTTTGAACCTTGGAAAAACCAAGCTTTAGAAAAATTACTCTATCATAATGCCCCAACCAAGAGGCTTTTCAACTTACAAAAAAATTAGTTTCTACTACTGCAAAAAATAATTTTTTCAATCATTAAGTATTTGTACCTTGCTACAAATTTAATTTGAAAGACAAAAGTTCACAGAAACACATTCCACCTTAAAATTCTTAGGATTTAATAATAATTTACAAATGATCGATCATACGTTATTAACAGATTTACATCTAGTTCTTTAAATATGTGAGCAAGCACTTCTATCATTATCTGTAAGAAACAAGAAACATAAGAGGCAAATCTTGAATTATAACTCAAAATTATTAAATTGAGAAAGAATCTTAGCTGACCCTCTTATTCCACACATAAAGAAATAGCCCAGTATGCAAGGTAGTGGGAAAATCTCATAATTAAATTTGCACATCAAAGTATTTTAAATATAAACCAAAGAATCTCCTCTCCCCAACCATAGGAATTGCTCATCTGAGGTAAAATATGTGCCTTAAATATATGTGTTCTATGGTAAAAGTTATTACTATCTGTTAAGAGTCAAAATTAGAATATTTAGAATAAAATTAACCTTCTGTTAAAATATAGTGGGCCTAGTCAGGTGTTTCTATGCAGTAGGCAAGTATAGATTCTAAGAAAAGAAAAAAACCTTAAAGTTGAAAGACATGAGAGTATGGGCATCAGGTCTAATTGCTGGGTCAAAAATTGTAAAAGAAAGGTTCCAAATAAGAGATGAGGGTGGCCAGGGAAGGCTTCTTTGAAGAGGTAATGTTTGATGTATGAATTAAGAGTGATGGGCATTTGGGGGCACCTGGGTGGCTCGGGTGGTTGAGCGACTGCCTTCGGCTTGGGTCGTGATCCTGGAGTCTCGGGATCGAGTCCCGCATCGGGCTCCTTGCTCGGCGGGGAGTCTGCTTCTCCCTCTGACCCTCCCCCCTCTCATGTGCTCTCTCTTTCAAATAAATAAATCTTAAAAAAAAAAACAAAAAACAGTGATGGGCATTTGGTAAAACGGTAGGAAGGGTAATTCAGTCAAAACAATGGTTCTCAACTTCAGTGTCTATCAGAACCTCCTGGAGGGCTTGTTAAAACACAGACTGATAATTACCTCTGGGGTGGGACCTGATAATTTGCATTCCTAACAAGTTCTGAGGTGATGCTGCTGCTGCTGCTGGTTTGAGGACTGCATTTTGAGAACTGAGGCAGTCACATTAAGATGTAATGACAGACAGGCACAAATTGATACTTTTGGTTAAGTGCTATTAGTTTAATACAGTTACCTGATGTGTACTTGGGGGAAATGGAAAAAAGGTATAACTGAAGAAGTTAGAACCAGACCACTTAAACAGTTTTTTCTTTAGGATATAGGATGTTATTCAATCAGAAAGATATATTTATAGAAAGATCATTCTGATATCAATCAAAGGAGGATCAAGAGGAAAACTGGCATGGAGAGAGCTTAATTACAAAGAAACTAGAGTTACCTAAATGAGAAATGATAATGGCTAAACTAAAGCCGTGGCAGAGGAACAAAAAGGAAAATAAATGAGGAGAAAAAATGGATTTGACACAGTAACTCACTGAATATGGAAGGTGAAAGAGAATATAGCAAAAGAGTAACTCTATGGATTAGTTTTTGCAATTTGTCAATCATCCATTATATATTTATTTCTCATTTATTTCCTATACTAGAATTTAAGTTCCATGAAATGAGTGATTGCTTTATTCACGTGCTATGTCCCTAGCCTTTGTAAGAATATCTGGCACACAGAGTTCCCATTACAGTCTATACTTAACTACAGAGTCCTACTACAGTCCTTTTAAAATTTAAGTCTGATGATGTTATTTCTCTGCTCTACTCTCCAGTGGTCCATCTACCATTAAGAGTAACTGGCATGCAATGCTATTTTCATTGAGACAAAATCTAATTCCCCACATCCCCATAAATGTCAGTTGAAGTCAACAATGTGCTTAGTGACATACACCCATAAAGCAACTTCCTTATCAGTAAAACATTTTGAGGATTAAAGCTTTTAAGCCTACACTCTGTGTGAATACTGTCCTATATGACCTCGCACTGTCTCTCTTCCCTTTCTGACCTTACCTCTTAACCCTGTCTATCCTTCTCTCTACTGGAATCACGAAGTCCTCGGCTATTCCTCAACCCATCATATATGCTTTTGTTGCGTGGCTGTATTACTGAAGCCAAGCACGAAAGTGTCTAAAATAATACTGATTGTGGGCTAGCACTGTGTTTCTTTGAACATGCTTTTCCTTTTGTCTTTTTTCCCTATTCTTTTAAATGAAGTACAATTCTTACTTCAGCACTTTAATCTGGCCAGACAATAATATGTTCACAAACCATCCTTACACTCCATATTGGGTAAGTTCTGGTAGTACCATGTACACATCTGTTATCATATCAAAAACCACTTGGTATGGTAATTTTCAAAAGATGATATTCCACTAATTATATGTTAATACTAGTATGCTGGTATTTTCTCAAGGAGGGAGACTTCAGAGAACGGTTACCAGAAATGTTAATATAATTTTATACTACATTGAGTGCAAAAATAAAACTTTAAACATTGGTTAATATTCTCTTTTAAGAGGTACAAACTGAAATATACTTAGGTTTTAGCACTGGTGTAGTTAAAAAAAAACCCCAAACTTCAGTTCATAAAGTGTCACTAAAAAATATTATGAATAGACTTTTGAAAAAATAAGCACAAATACTAATAATTGTTTAGTCCCAAGAACAACTTTGTGAGGTGTTATTTTTCTCATTTTTTATAGTTGAGAAAATGAAGACTTAAGCAAGGTAAGTAATCTGCCTACAGTCGCAGAATAAAAATGTTTCAAAACCAAGCCTGTTTGACTCAACAGTCTGAGCTTTAAGCTATTATACAATACTTTCACTTAAGAAATGGCATTGTGAGTAGTATCATTTTAGAAAAAAGAATAAACTTCAAGCTTAACATACTTAGGGCTTTTAATACAGGATTAATGTCCTGCATTTCAGGTTAACAGTGTAGATAATAAGATGAATTTAAGTTTCTGATAAAAATTTCACTGTGTGGGCTATATCCAAACAAAACAGGCAAGATATACAAAAGTAACACAGTGTGATACAAAAAGCAAATGAAACAGTGGTTCTACTTATAAGATGTGTCACTTATTATGTGACACTGACCATATAATTTCCCTCTTTAAACTCAATTTTTCCAACTTCAAATAGGTTGATTTGGTTAATTATTTAAGAGTTATTTCATACCTAAAATTCCAAGATTCTACAGAAGAGAACTATTAAAGAATAACAGTAATAAAAAACAGGGGAGATGTACCTATTATACTATTCATGTAATCATTAAATGTACTAAAAGAGTCATACAACACCTTTCTTTAAACAAGTTGATGAAATATCTTAAAAATCCGGAAAAAATAGAACCAAAATTGAACTGTATGTTTAAATTAGTTTGCCTCCTTTTCTCTCAGAATTTATCAAGTCTGAAGTTTGAATGAAATTTATAGTGCATTTGCAAAAACAAAAAATAAAAATACCTGTTTAGATGTGTTATTACATATCTAAATACATCATAGTTTACAGGATGAAATTTCTTAACAATTTCTTTCAATGCATGAAGACGTTCTGTTTTATCTGGGATTTCTGTAAAATTAGAGAGAAATCTGTTAAAATTCATACGTTTATAAATATTCGATAAAGCTTCCCGGTTTGCTTATTGTAAAAGATAATGAACAATCTTTTTGAAGCACATTAGGATAGGTAAACAAAAACAAAATATTCTAAAGAACCTGCTAAATACATTATCATCTATTACAACAGCCTTTCTGCAAATAAAGCTAATCAGAGGTCTAAGTGACTCGGAGACAGTGAAAAAAAAAAAAATACTGAGTAAGTATTTATTTTCCTACCTTTTTCAAAAAATGACTGAAGACACGAGGCCAAAGTTAATTTGACTTTAAAAAATTTAAATACACGTTTAATACCATACACAGGTTAATATTTTACGGAAATACATTACAGATACATTCATTTGACGAGTTCATTTAATTTTCTTAAAAAGCCTTTGAGTTTGAATCAAAAATGTAAATCTCAAATTTCTAGTACAGTGACCTTCAAACTTCTAGAAGCACTGAGTCACTTGAGAGACCAGCTAAACCTAAGTATTCCTGGGGAATACTCCCGAGATTCTGATTTTATTTATTTGGAGGAAAATACATTTAAGAAAGAGTCTTATAAGCTAAATTTTTATTAGCTACATGTTCTAGTGCGAGACTGATTTTAACACATAGCAATCAATATATAAAACCCACCATCATCATCCCTCTCCAAAAAAGGAGGCTTATAACTTACTTGCTGCTTCCAATAACTCTGGATGAAGAGAATATGGAATTAAAGGGTCTGGCAGATCTGCAAAGAAAGCTTTAAGAGCTCCAGCTACAGCATTTACTGTTACTTCCATTGATACTAGACTGATATTATGATCTACAAGACAAAAATTTAAATTTAAATTTATAAAATAAAATTCTGATTTATTGTAAGAGAAGTAAGCTAAACAGGTACTTGTAGATCCAAATTTTTAGAATCTTCTCATCAGCCATGTTTCTTTACAGGGTGATACATCCCTCCCCCACTGTTTTAAGTTTGCCTGACATAAGGAAAGAGAGAACCAAGCAAGAAGCATCTTCTATCACAACAAAAAATGCTGTTAGGCTTATTAGTATGCTGAAGAACATTAAGTTTTCACTAACATCTATCTTTTAAAATATTTTGTTTATATAAGCTATTTAAAAAGGCAATAAGAAAACAGACAAAAGACAGGAATTAAGCACACAAATCTGAGTTACACCTTCTAATTTATGCTTAATTTTTTATATAAAATACTTTTAATTTCAACACTTATCAGTGAAATTCTGACTAAAAAAAGACTGGAAAATACTAACGATGTATCATAAGGTTAATCTGCTATTAAAAGAATCAATATTTTCCTTTTACAAGTACAATGGATACTTTTGATGGAAAATGTACAAACACAGACCAACAAGAGAAAAAAATTACCCCATACCTAGAGACAATCACTGTTTATACTTTATTTTAGCATATTTCCTTTCAGCTGTTTCCCACTTATTAAAAAAATAAATCAGACAAATCATACATTTTATACTGGATTTCATTTTTAAGGCATTACCTAAGATCATTAAAATTTCACAAGCAACTTTTTAACTTTTCTGTGTGCTAGATAACATTTAATTGTAATATAACTGAAAAGCTGAAAGACTAGTACTAAGAACCTACATATATCCTTAACCCATTATTAAACTTTTGCCCTAAATAGTTTTAATGACCACAAAATATTCCCCCAGATTTAACAATATACGTAATATTTTATTACTGAACATTTGGATTTCATTTAAAAACATTAAAGATACTATGATAAACACTTTTATATACTAAAGCTTATTTTATTAGGCTACATTCCTTGTAACTAGCTATCTGAAGAATATTTAATATGGTCATACAGAAAACTCTTCATTATCTCATTATTCATCACAGTTCCTCTAATCACTCCCATTCTAAATATGAAAAAGTTAGGATTAAGAAAAATTAACTCCCCTATGGCACAAAGACAGTAAGTGGCAGAACCAGAAAATAAAACCAGGCAGTCTAATTAAAGAGGCCTAGTACTGACCACTACCCGTTCCTTCATTATTTTAAGGGAAATTGCACAAATCTGGTATTATAAAGTTTCAGTTTATCCAACAAAATGTTTTTAAAAAATTAAGTACAATATATACAATATACTTTTAAAGCAAGGAAAACACACACACCACTCAACAACTGACATTTTACCATTTCAACACACACAAATCTACATTATTTTACATGGTTATCTAGTAGTCTGCTTATAAGCACAGTGGGTAGGCCCTCTCCTTTTTAAAAAATTTCAGACAATGCTGCAATGACTACCCTTTCAAGTATATCTTTGTAAGCTTACACTAAGACTTTTGTAACATAAATATTTGTAAGTGGAATTTCTCTAGCAAAGATACCTGAATTTTAATAGATATACATGAATTGCCTCTCAAAAGGCAACATACCTGCTTGTCTATACTCTATCAACAATCTTTTTCGCTGATAATAAACACATAAAAACCAAATCTTTTTGCTTTAATATTTATATCTACAAATCATAGAGACAGAGCATATTTTCATAAACTTGGTTGGTCACTTTCTTCTGATGTGAACTGCTTATCTAGCTTAGATAATATTCCATAACTTCCTCAAGTTTATAGTTTGTCTCCTGATTTTATGTTTTATCCACTATCTCACACAGAATTTTTACATTTTTATTTTTTTTTTGACATGTCATTAGACATTCTTTTTTTTTTTTTTTTTTTTAAAGATTTTTATTTATTTATTCATGAGAGACAGAGAGAGAGAGGCAGAGGGAGAAGCAGGCTCCCAAGAAGCAGAGAGCCCGATGCGGGACTCGATCCCAGGACCCTGGGATCATGACCTGAGCCGAAGGCAGACGCTTAACCATCTGAGCCACCCAGGCGCCCAGAATTTTTACATTTTTAGGTAGTCCAATTTATTATCTTGTGTATGCTTTCTAGGTTTCGTATCAAATTTAGGCCTTTCCATACTCTAAGATTATAAAAATATTCACTCCTTTTTCTCCATAATGTTCAGTCTTCATTTTTCGTATTTAAAACTTTGATTTCTTACAGAATTTACTCTGAGTAGGGAACTGTTTTGTTTTTATTCCTAATGGTTAGTTGGCCCTACAGCATGAAATAAAATTTTAATTGCATCTTTAAATAAGTACTATCTCTGCTATACAAAGATGCTGGTATGTCATAAGTCAATTTATTATTGCTTTTCTAATTCTGGCAATGGATTTATAGCTTTTCTATTTCCTGACTGTGGTATTTATTCTATCACATACTTCTAATCCTGTTTCAAAACTCTTTCCCTTCAAAATCCCACATCCTTAGAAAATCAATCTTCCCACCATGAAATATCAATAAGGAAAATAATTTTAAAATGATTTTATTTTATATGCCATACCTTGATCAAACTGCTTTTGAATATTGTCTTGATCAGTTTTGTTCCCACTAACACGGTAGAGTCCTTCAGTACATAATCCTAAAAGAAAAAAGAAATATACAAGCTTTTATACATACATACTTATCTACAACAAAAAATATACTTAAGTTTATGTACATCTTAGTGACTTACAAATATATGGTGGTAAACTGTTAAGAATTTAATTTTTTTGAGCATTTCTTTTTAAATTCTCAATGGACTACTTTTTCTGTTTAACCATTTAGGACACCCAGGTTCCATGCAAAATGAGAAGACAAGTTCCTCCCTATTTCTCCCACCAAATACAGCTAAAATTCCTGAGCATAATATATAGAAAGTCAAAAGACTGGTAGAGAGAAAGTAAGCTATCTAAGGACCCTGGAACTTGAAGAACAATAGGACAGTGAGTTCTCTGGGTTTTCTTTTTGCCTCATATATACTGGATTGGGCAACAGAAGCCTGCAACCCAGAAATACCACTCACTAAGCACAGGCAAAAAAGAAAAACTAACAGAAAACCAACCACAACAAGAAAAACCTGCTTTCTCTAGTGAAATATGTGGCCTTAGAAAGCAAAACAAAACAAACAAAAACAAACAAAAAAAGAAAGTAAAACAAAACATTTTTTATTATAACTGCCCTCCTCTAGCCAAAGACCATGAAACCCACTCCTCACATATATCAGTTGTGACCAAGTAGGGAGATTAGAATTCCACTTCTGCCCAGCAGTAAGAAAGGCACCCCTTCCCCTCCCTGGAATGTCACTAGAGGTGAATGGAGACTAGATCCTGACAAAAGAGGGAAACTACCCTCCCCACCATGGCAGTGTCAGTAGAACCCTATGGAGACCAAGTAGGGCATCCGGACTTCCATCCCCAACTTGAAGTAATGAAGCAGCTCTCCTTCCCTGCTTGTGCAGTGTCAGAAGAGGCCTACTAAAACAGAAGATCCAAAATCTCATAGCATAATATCCAAAATGCCTGGGATACAATAATAGGCTAAAATCATTCATCATACCACAAATGAAGAAAATCTCAACATGAATAAGAAAAGACAATTAACAGACACCAATACAAAGGCGTCAGTTGTGGAATGAGATGACAAGGATTTTATTTTTTTATTTATTTATTTTTTTAAAGATTTTATTTATTTATTTATTTGAGAGAGAGAGAGTGAGAGAGAGCACATGAGAGGGGGGAGGGTCAGAGGGAGAAGCAGACTCCCCGCCGAGCAGGGAGCCTGATGCGGGACTCGATCGAGGGACTCCAGGATCATGACCTGAGCCGAAGGCAGTCGCTTAACCAACTGAGCCACCCAGGCGCCCTGATCTGACAAGGATTTTAAAGCAGCTATCATAAAATATTTCAACAAGCAATTATAAATACACTAGGAACAAAAAATAGAAAGTTTCAGCAAAAAATCAGAAATACAATAAGAACTGGAAATTTTAGAACTAAGAAGTAACAGAACCAGACAGACCTTGAAGATAAATCAATAGAAATTACAGAGTCTAAACAACATAAAGAAATTATACTGGAGAAGAAAAAAAAAAGAAAGAAAGAAAAAAGAAAAGCCCCAGGGACTTGTAGACAATAACAAAAGATCTAACATTTATATGTCACTGGCCAAAAGTCTATAGCTATTCTCTATGTTCAATAGGAAGTTCCTCAAAGCATTCTAAAAGAAACTCAATTTGATAAGGCATTGTACTCTTATTGTACTCTCGTTACAGGAGTAACAACAACCACCAATACCACCACAACAACAACAAAAACCCAAAACAAGTAATCAATGAAAAAGGAGATTATTTCAAACATTCCTTGACCAATGTCACAGCTTTTGCACGGGACAATGTATTATTAATTCCTTCTACTTTCCTACCTAGTTATTAGAATTACTTTAGTCTTTTTTTTTTAAGATTTTATTTATTTATTTGACAGAGCAAGAGATCACAAGCAGGGGGAGTAGGAGAGAGAGAGGGAGAAGCAGGCTCCCCGCTGAGCAGGGAGCCAAATGGGGGGCTTGATCCCAGGACTCGGGGAACATGACCTGAGCCGAAGGCAGACGCTTACCTGACTGAGCCACCCAGGCATCTTAGTCTTTACAAAGAATACACAATAGGAAAGAATGAAGTTTATCTCATGCTGGAGGAAAAGTTAATATTCAGAAATCTATGAACATAAAAGGGAGCAAAAATCCAATGACAAAGTTTCATGGCTAAAGTTGTATTTTTAAATGTTATAAAATTTTACTGACATAGTCACAACAAGAATTATTCTGTAATGAATGAAAGAAACCAGTCACAAAATAATTTATTTTGTATGATTCCATTTATATCAAGTTCTAAAACAGGTAGTACTTACTTATAAGTGGGGGATGGGGTAATCAGAAGAGGTTATCTTGGGTGGTTGGAAAACTAATTTGGGAACAGACATAAAGGATGATGAAAATGTTCTGTCTCTTGACAGGTATGTGGATGAAACAGGGGTATGCATTTGTCTCAACTCAATCTAAGTGTACCCTTAAGTTTGGTGCACTTCACTCTATGTAACTGGACCTTAAAAATTAAAAACAAACAAACAAACAAACTGGGAGCCACTTACTGAACTCTACTTAATAGGTTTCAAATCTAGGGTGTAATGGAGACTTTTGCACATTCCAGACTTGAGCAAATTAGTAAATACGCGGAGAATAAAAGGAGCAAGGATTCCCACTGTTGGAGAAGGAAATTACTAATAAGAGGAAATAGAATTAAATGTACGTTGTGGCATTAGACTGAAATTGAAAGTAACAGCAAAAATTCATGGTTTTTAATAGACTGCTAAAGAAGTAAGTACAGATACATACAGACATATATTTCTGAGCTTTCCTAGCCTTTTCTGCTAAGATGGTCCATAAACAGCCCCAATATTGGTTTCTAAATACCATTCTTTACCGAAACAAACCAGAGCAATCTGGAGCAAAGGCTGATGCCAAAGTTCAATCAGAAAAAGTATAAGCCAAGCCTGGTGCATCTTGTGCCAGAAAACTGAAAAAGTACTTAGAATTATGGGGACATATCTTAAAAGGACACAGAAGCCATGAAGGAGACTAAGTTACAATGATCTGAATATCAAAATATATAAAAACATTAATGGATTATAACCCACTGACTATATTAAGGATGAATGAATCCATAACAATATAAACAAAAAATTAATAAATTAAAGTTTTAACTTCAGTGATGAAGTTTGGTAGATATAGCACCAAATAATCAAAATTAATAACACCTATATTGGGGCAAACTGACATTTTGTCTCAACAGATATGATGTACTTAAAAAGACATATCACCCTGGTGGTATTTCTAACAAAAAAATGTAATTCAAATCTAATAATGAGGAAGCATCACACAAACTCAAATTGAGGAAGAAAGAGTAGTTCATTTGTATAGTGAAATGTCAACCAATAACCACAGGAGAAATTTAAAAAATCAATGAAGGGTGACTTGGTGGCTCAGTTGGTTAAGCGGCTGCCTTCGGCTCAGGTCATGATCCCGGAGTCCCAGGATCGAGTCCCGCATCGGGCTCCCGGCTCGGCAGGGAGTCTGCTTCTCCCTCTGACCCTCTCCCTTCTCATGCCTTCTCTCTCCCTCAAATAAATAAATAAAATCTTTTTTAAAAATTTTAAAAAAAATCAATGAAGACTAAAACTAGTGGCTAAAGGTCTGATGATAATTTCAAAAACTCTTTTGAATTAAAGGGGTTTTAAAAGACTAAAAGAACACTAAATGCAATGCACCTAAATTAAATTATATCCTAGACTGCCCCTCTCATAGAGTTAAATGGCCCAAAATGTCAATAATGCTGAGGTTGACAACCACCAACATAGTGATAAGCATTTAATATTTCTCGCTAAATAAAAATTTTAAGGTACTTAATCATACATGCTAAAAATCTTGCCTTCCATTCACTAATAACTAAATGATGTACAATAAACAAACAAAAAACACCCCTAACTCACTTACCTAGATGTGAATTATCAAAGTTTAACTTGGACTTAAATCACCCGAAATATCTATCGTGGGCCTTCAAACAATAAAGGCATTAGAAATCTATTCCAAAATTCCAAAACTAAATATAAAAGTTTAGAAATTTTGAATGATAACTTTTAACCAAGTATCCTCTTTTTTTTCTTTTGTTAGAAAAGTACCTAACCCTTGTGCTGTACAAAGTTCTTGGTATCTGAAAATGGTCTATCTGAACTGCTAATACAGGATATAAAACAAAGAGTTTCACAGACTGTTTCTGTACACCTTCGGGTTGAAATAATCCTAAATCATAAAAGAGATTACAAAGTAAGGTATGTAGATAACCCATAAATTAGAAAAATATGTCCATGGGGAATGGCATCAGTAAGAGATGGAGATGGGAATTTCAGGGCTTGGTTCCCCCCAGAAAAGCAACTAATGAGCTGTCAAAAAGTGTCAGAATCAATTTTTGCAGAACTCTGAAATCTGGTAAAAAAAAAAAAAAAAAAAAAAAAATCATCACAACCACTAAAAGGCTTGGTGAAGAAAGCAGCTTCTAACTGTCCATCTACCATACCCCTACACTTCAGATTGGCAACGACCATAATGATGCAGCCTGTGCTCTGGGCAAAGATTGCAAGTGCCAGAGGGAGCAACAGAGATCTTATTCTCAAAGAAATGTGGTGATAGGTTTTCACCTGTCTCCCAGATGAACAGCACAAGGGCTTGCTTGTGTTTCACTCAACTTGAAGTGTCCCCAGGGGTGAGGTACTTTCACTGGCATTTAAAGGCACAAGTATTAGCTGTAGCAATTTGGAGCAGGAGACAACAGTCAGGACAAGCAAAGGGAGGGAAAGCCTGTGATGGAAGATGTTGGCATGGGAGACATTGGCAGAATTACAGCTTTTAAAAAGCTCCTACATAATACTGGGGAATCAAGAAGTCCACATGCATGCCCAGGGCTAGATACATCCTCAGAAAATGCCTGACAAGATTAGAAACTTTCATCTCTAGGCTGACCACAGGCTCTGCTCAAGCTGGAAGTGAAGGCTC